TTTGTCTGTTTTCAAGGTTTTGAGTATGTATCATCTGACTGCCCTCCAGAAAGGTTGTACCAGTTTACATTCTTACCATCAATGAGTCAGAACTTTCTCTTTTGCCTGCACGTTTACCAACAGTGGGTTTAAAAAAAAAAAATCTTTGTTGACCTCTGATCTCATTAGTGTTTTAATTGTATTTTTACTGTTGAGGCTGAGTGTATTTTCATGTGTAGTGGGCATTTGTGTCTTCTCTAAATCCTGCATTCTCGCTCTGCTAATTTTTCCATTGTTACCTTTTTCTTATTGATTTGTGAGTGATACAGATATTAATGCTTTGTCTATTCTGTACATATATATCAATATTTTTCTCTAATTTTTGTCTAAGATTTCTCTCAGATTTTATGGGCTTAGGTGGATTTTTTAAAAATCCACAAACAAATCTTTTTATTTTTATTTCTGAGAATGGTGTTGACAGATTTATTGTTTTAAACAATAGTGAAGCTTACATACTTTCAGAAAATGTCAGATACTATCCAGGTAAAATCCAGGTCCCTCAGTTTTTTTTTTTTTAAGATTTTATTTGTGTATTTGACACAGAGAGAGCACAAGCAAGGAGAGCGGCAGGCAGAGGGAGAGGGAGAGGGAGAAGCAGACTCCCTGCTGAGCAGGGAGCCTGATGCGGGGCTTGATCCCAGGATCCTGGGATCATGACCTGAGCTGAAGGCAGCGGCTTAACCAACTGAGCCACCCAGACGCCCCGTAGGTCCCTCAGTTTATGTCACACACCACATTCTGTTCTCACCATATTTAGCCACATGAATCTCCCACAACTTCTAACTACAAACTCTCAGTTCTTGTGAGTTTAGTTTGTGGTGTGTGGTGCTTGGGGGCTCTGAAGTCTGAGTCTGACAGACCTGAGTTAGGATTCTGACTCAACCACTCACCAACAGTATGAGAAGAGCTTTTTGAACCTCAGCACTTCATATTTAAGTGGAGACAGGATTAATGAGAGTTTGAATTATATGTAATGAATGACAATGTTTGACATATAGTTGGCACTAAATAAATGTATTTTCCAGTCATCCCCCCATGTTTTTGCTCATGCATGCAAAATATGTTTCTGGGATACACTTCTCTTATTCTCCACCGCACAATATTTTCCCTAGTCTTCTGGCCTAGTTTTATCCAGACTTCTTTTTTTTTTTTTTATGATTTTATTTATTTATTTGACAGAGAGAGACACAGCAAGAGGGGGAACACAAGCAGGGGGAGTGGGAGAGGGAGCAGCAGGCTTCCCGCGGAGCAGGGAGCCCGACGTGGGGCTCGATCCCAGGACCCTGGGATCGTCACCTGAGCTGAAGGCAGACACTCAACGACTGAGCCACCCAGGTGCCCAAAAATAGCCTAATTATTATGCCAAGCATATAATTAGGGATCAATGAAAATTGGTTTAATAAATATAGCAATAATTGTTATCTCAGCCTCTGGTATCTTATACCATTGAATATTTTAATAGCATTGGGGGAAAGGAGTGAAGGTGGCCAAAGGTGCAAATTTGGGAGTTATTCTGAGGATCTAAAGTATAGCATGGTGATTATAGTTAATACTTTATTGTATATTTGAAAGTTGCTAAGAGCAAATCGAGAAAGTTCTCATCACACACAAAAATTATAACTGAGGTAACGTGTGTTAACTTACTTGTAATCATTTTGAAATATATACATATATTTATGTATACATATACATATATCAAATCATTATGCTATACACCTTAAACTAGTACAGTGGATGTCAATTATAACTCAATAGAACTGGAAAGATATTAATTTTTAAAAATTAGAAAAAAATATGTATGTACTATTGGAATATGTCATTCCTCACTAACTCAATATACACATTTCTCCAATTCTAAGAAGTATTTTGGCCCCACATTTTAATGTACCTGAAACTGGGATATGTCTTACTTAAGAAATAGACATTGGCCAAATGAAATCATGATATTGTTGGCATTGCCTCTGTATTTGTGAACATGGTCATAACTGTAGTTATGTATAGTTATAGTTATGTATAACTATAGTCAAGGCATGGAATTTAATTTGTCAGAAACTTCTTTGTGGTCATTAACAGAGAAGTGCAGGGCTTATAGTGGCAGATGATTCAGCTGAACAAGAAATTTATGCTTTTGATCAGATAGGACAGCACCAGCATCAAACTTGCACCATGACTGTTAGTGGCTAGGAAGCAAATTCCAGAGATAAGACTAGCATATTCTTTTAAGAAATGCTGCCCTATCAACGATATTGTGCAGAAAAACACACGTAGTGATGCTTTGTATGAAAAGGGATTCAGAAGAGTTAGATTTAGTGTACAGAATTTTTAGAAATTCTTTACTCAATTTATTTTGCTTATATTTCCCTTTGCCCTAAGTGCACATCACTGTAAAAAATCTAAGTCTAAAAGTGCTCTTTAATTAAGTAGAAAACAAAAATCCTGTATGACAACATGTTGTGTCGTAGTTTAATTGGCAACTCTTTCCTATCTTGGTGGCACATTCAGTTGAAGACGGCTGCAATTTGGATATGATAAATTGAATGGAGGCTAAACTCAGCAGGAAGTCTGTGAATTTCCAGACCTCCCCTAGTGAAGGAACAGAGCTTGGTGTCTTGCTGTTGTTGTTTTGGTGGATCTGATGCAGTTGCCTAGGAATGAGGTAGGAAGATCCTGTGATTTCTTTGACAGTCCTCTGCTACACTTGTTTGCAGACCCAACAGAGGTTGAAGAGAAGCTAGCTTCGCTTATCACCATTTATAACTTTTTTTAAAAAGATTTTATTTATTTATTTATTTGAGAGAGAAAGAGAGAGAGAGAGAGAAATAGCATGAGAGGGGAGAGGCTCAGAGGGAGAAGCAGGCTCCCCGCTGAGCCGGGAGCCCGATGCGGGACTCGATCCCGGGACTCCAGGATCATGACCTGAGCCGAAGGCAGTCCCTTAACCAACTGAGCCACCCAGGTGCCCCCATTTTAACTTCTTAACATAAGTCACAGGTTGCATTCTGAATCAAGCATATAATTTATCATTAGTTCAGCATTTTTAAATTTATCATTAGTTAAGCATTTTTAAATTATAAAAATATATTTAAATTATATTTTCCAATATACAAGTAATATATGTTAGTATGGAAAAGGTTCTGTGTTAAAAAGTCGGTATGTATGAGTATGTAATCGGCTGTATTTTTTCTTTAAATTTCTGAAAATTTAAAAAAAAAATTTCTTGATGCCATTTCTTCCTTACAGAAGTATCTCCAATCAAAGTAATATATATTCAATGTATAGCATTTGGTAATACAGAAAAGTATAAAACATGAAAAACCTCATGCTTCATCTCACAACCCAGAGCTTGCCTCTCAATATTTTTGGCCATTACATTCAATGTATGTAGGGCAAAAACGAGTAGCTTAACTTGCACACAGTGGATATGCACTGTATCTCTGCTGAATGAATGCCTGACTGCTGAACGAGAACTTGGAGAACAGCCCACGTGTCTTGCTGACAGAATTAATTACATAGATCTTACGGTCATTTGTCCTCTCAAGTTTGCCTTATTCGTCTCACATAGCAGGAACTTGGCCAGGGTGCTGCGGACTTTCTACTATTTGGCAAAGGAGCACTCTGGAAGGATGGTCACTGTCGTTACTTCATTCCTCTCACAAATTCATTCAACAAATACTCATTAAGTGCCCACTGTGTGCCTGGAATACAGAGGGGCAATACATCAACATGGCTCCGGCCCTCTTGAAGTTTACAGTCTAAACACGACAAAACAGATGATAAACATAAACACAAAAATAAATGTATATATGTAAACTGTCATTAAATGTAGAAAAGGAAGAGAACAGGTGGCTGGGAAAATAAGCAGAGGCATGGTCTGATTCAGGAAGGGTCAGGGAAGTCTTTTCTGATGGAGTAACAAGTCAGAAGGTCCAGGAGGAACAAAAGGGCAGGTTCTGGGGTGGTCAAACTTGAAGTGGCTGTGGCCTAAGAATAATGACGGAAAAAATGTTGGGAGAAAAGACCGCTGCAGAGGTAAGCAGGTCCTGCAAGGCCTCGTAAATTACGGAATTTGAATTTTATTTTATGTATGCTTAGAAACCTATATATATATATATTTGTAATTTAAATTACATTTATTTTTTTAATTGGTAAAATTCAGGATTCAAAGCATAAAACGTTCTGGGCACCTGTGTGGTTCAGTTGGTTGGGACTCAGGATTTCCTCAGAGGTCACGGCCTCAGGGTCCTGAGATCCAGCCCCACAGCGGCTGGCGCTGGGGGCGGAGTCCGCTTAAGATTTTCTTTCTCTCTCTCTGCCCCTCCCCCTCTCTAACAACAACAACAACAACAAAACCCAAAAAAACACAAAGCACGAAAGATCCAAGATCTTTTAAAGAAAACTCCTCCCCACCCTCCCCCCGACCAGCTGCCTGCACGCAACCCTCCGGAAATACTCTAAGCACAAGCAAGCGTATCTAACAGTCTCTGTATGTATAAGATATTTTAAACAGGGGAGCGAGGCCATCAGATTTGTGTTTTAATTCCACCCGAGCGCTGAGAAGGCACTGGCTCTCAGCGTTTAGAGCTACGCATCCCGGCTCACGCATTTCACAAACCCTCCTCGCCCCGACTACCCCCCCAAACCACGCCATCCCCCCGCCCCCAACCCTGCCCCAGGGCTTTCTAAATTGCAGCTCTGCATGGCTCCCACGCTCGTTCTCACGCTGGTTCCTGGCAACCACCTAGCGCGCCCACAGCTCCCGGCACGGAACCCTGGAGTTCCGCACCCAGCCCACGTGTGCTCCAGTGTTTTCGAGCGAGACGGGAGCGGATCGAACGCACGCCAAGGCGGGAAGGGAGGCTCAGCTCTCGCTGCGACACAGGCGGGTCAGAGAGTGGCTAAGACTGGGGCGGGGCCAGGGCTGAGGGCCGTCCCAAGCTTGAGGGCGGAGCCGACGGCTCGGGTCGGCCGCCGTGCTCTCCAGAGCTCCCCGGCTGCTGCGATTCCGTCTGAGACCCGGGCCACCCAAGGGGCGGTGGGCGCTTGCTGACCCTGGGCTCTGTAAAGCCCCGAAGGTAAATCCGCCTAGGAGCCGGGCGGCTTGAGCGAGAGGGGACCAACGACGGGGCCGGGCAGCTGGATGGCGGCGGAGGGGAGCGTCGCGCGGCAAGTTGTTTCTCCAGAAAGCTGAACTCGTCGCAAAGTTTCCTGTGCATCAGCTTGCACCCTGCGTACTGGTGGCGGGCTTTTTCCGTGCGGGTGGTCTTTGGGCGCTGCAGGGACACGGAGGTAATTGGATTATTCCGCCTGGGCACAGCCCAGATTTCTGTCCCGGACCACGCGTTGCGGTGGGCGCAGATTTTGCCCTAGAAGGGGTGGGTAGTCGACACGCAGTTGTGTCGCGCACAGCAGTCGGGTGACCGCCACACTCGGAGCGCGCGTCTGCAAGGCGTGCCTGTTTGTCCGGAGGCAAAGTTCCATGATTTCTTTCCTCTTTAGGCAAGACTAACTGGGTGCTCTTCCCTCCCGGGCTGACCTCCGAGTCTCCGCTATGGACAGCGAGAGTGAAGTGGATTTTTCTAGCAACAGCTTAACCCCTTTGTGGCGGAGGCGGTCAACTCCTCAGCCTCAGTTGCTGGGCCGGAGCAAGCCGAGGCCCCAGTCCTACCAGAGCCCCAGCGGGTTGCTGATCACGGATTTCCCAGTGGAAGACCGAGGGACGCTCCCCACTGTGCAGACTCCCACCCAGGTACCCACCGCTTCTGAGGGCAGGACCGTCCAGGGGAACCCCCTGCTTCTGTGTGCCCATAGGAGGGTGGTGACCAATGGGAGGACGATCTCCCCGGAATATAGAGCTGTCTCTCCTCGGCTCCGACGGCCCAAGTCTCCCCAGGCTCCCAAAGCGGTGTTAGGGGGCTCCCCGAAATCCCCAGCGAATGGCACTGTGATGTCCCCCCTACCGCAGCCTCTGCGCCCGCAGCGGACTCCCAACTCGCCCGCCTGCTGCAGCCGGGAGGTAGACCTGACCGGACTGACCACCAGCCCCCTGTCTTCACCCGCTGCAAATGGGCTTTTCCCTAAAATCGACACCCCAGGCTCTGGTTCGCGATCTGGCCAGACGACTAAGGACCCTGAGCCGGGACCCTCGAAACTCTCTCCTGCGCCCCAGAAAAGGTCTTTGGAGCACAAACTCCCCCTCCAAAGGCTGCCCTCACAGGAGAACGAGCTCCCAGAGAATCCTTCAGTGGTTTTGAGCACAAACAGCCCCGCCGCCCTCAAAGTGGGGAAGCAGCAAATCATTCCGAAGAGCCTGGCCTCGGAAATTAAAATAAGTAAATCCAACAGTCAGAATGTGGAGCCCCACAGGAGACTGCTCAAGGTGCGCAGCATGGTGGAGGGCCTCGGAGCGTCTCTGGGCCCCGCAGAGGATGAGGGCGAGGCGGAGAACGACGTGGACAGCCCAGGGTCTCTGCGGAGAGGCTTGCGATCCACGTCCTATCGCAGGGCGGTGGTCAGTGGCTTTGATTTTGACAGCCCTACCGCTTCAAAGAAGAAGAACAGAATGTCCCAGCCCGTCCTGAAAGCGGTGATGGAAGACAAGGAGAAGTTTTCCAGTCTGGGAAGGATGAAGGTAAGAGTGGGCAGGAGTGTCACTCACGAAACCAGGCATTCACCGAGCCAAAAGCGAAGGTGTTGGGGGTGGGGAGGAGGGGCACAGAGGAAACCAGAAATTACTCTCTTTTAATTCCCTTGTTGATCAGACCTGTGCACATCTATCTCTTGGCCATGCCGTTGCTGGCCGTCACAGGCCGTCACAGCCAGGTTAATGCAACTTCGTGGGAGGAAGTAAAACTCTTACCACGGTTTTAACTTTTTCATCTCAGGCAAAATGTGGGGACCTAATGTGAAAAAGAAATGCAGCAAACTGGATATTGGCTGGGTCCTGAACACTTTTAATACAGGAAGCTGAACAGAGGGGTGGAGAGCAGGCGTGGTACTCTTGACTATATGGTCAAACTGTCTCGAGCTTGTCTGGAGGTCTCAGTTAGGGGTTGCTGATTCATCACTGCTGATACAGGAAACTCCTGATTTCTTTTGAGCATATTGATTATTTTAGTTACTGGAAGTAATTTAATTACATTAATTAATTATAGAATTTTTTTTTTTGAGTGGTGATAACACACTAAATACCATTCAGGTAAAATGTGAATTTTAAAAATAATTGTCAGAATTACAGAAGATACAAATAGTTTGTCATCTTTGTTGTTGCTTGTTTCTGTCACCACTGTCTGTGGTTGTATTTTATTCCCATGTTGTGCCCATTTATTCTTGAACTTGAATGCATCTAACAAATGAGTAGCCCAGAACTTCAGGTTCAAGTGAATTGTGTGTATTGCTCCCTGATAAAGGCCTGGGAGTTGCATGTGTTAAAATATTGCCAAACGTGACATAAAGAGATAGGGGAAAACTAAAGAAGGATATTTTGGAGTGTACAAATGCTGCTTTCTCTGGGAACAAGACAGATCTCAGCAGAAATTCATTTCGGCAGTCACAACTTTTCTTGATTAATCAGAGAACTGGAACCAGTTTATATAAATGTCAATATGTAATATACAAGGAAGGTTATTTTATTTTTGATCTCATGGCCTTAAAGAAATTACCTAACATTTTAGGTACCCCCCCCAACTCTACAAGTATAGCAAAGCTCAATTTAACAGTGATGGTGAATAATGAGTAGTGAAATGAGCTGAACTACTGGTCATTTGAGGATTCTCAAGCTGTTTTGCTGGGGTGTGTGGGACATTGTACATTTTATTTCACCATTTTAGTGGATTGTGGTAGTCAGATGAGTGAACTACTCAGGGGATCGATCATCTGCTGTATGCTTTTGGAAATGTAATGAGTGTAACAACAAGAAGTAGTACTTTTTCTTAAAATAGCTGTATTTTGTATTTGGCTCATTCATACATAGTTTGCTTTGCTTTTTCCTTTTTTGCTTTTCTTGTTTCTTAGAAAAAAATGCTGAAAGGACAAGGAACATTTGATGGGGAAGGTAAGCATTTGATTTTCCAGACTTTTATTGCTGTTTCAATGTGGAATATCAATTATAAGTTGAAATCCAACTGCAGTAACAAAAACACTTAAGATGAGAAAAATGTCCAACTTCTTCCCAAATTGTACAGTACAAAGCTCTGCACTAAGCTAAATTTTCATCCAGTAATACCAGCAGTGAATGGAATTAATGGCATTCTTTGTAAGCTGATAACTTTGTCAGCCAATGTCCTGGATTTTTAATTCTTATCTACTCTGGCTCTAGCCTCACCTCCCTCAAAAAATGGAGAAAGAGTAAGAGCTAGTCTGGCTTTTTAGTTAAAAATCCTGAGTTTGGCATTTAGATCTGCAGTCATATTTCCTTTGACTTAATATTCTTTCCCCCACTTTTCCACATTTTAGTGTCACTTCTGATTTCCTGTTTGCTTATCAAGTTTCAATTTTGGGGAAATCTAACGCTCCTGGCTGCTAGAAACATATTCCTAAGAATCTGTAACCCGTATAGAAAAGCTGCTTCCGCCAGGTGTTCAAACCCTAATCAGATTAGTGGACGTTGGTAAACAGATGGGTCAAGTGTCAACCAACTGGAAGGGCACAGAGCGAGTGAGCAGCCCCACCTGCAGCCCTTGCAGGTCTGGGGAGCATGGTGGAGGTAGTTACTTGCTGTCATACTTTGAACTGTTAAGATTTTCTGACCTTTAAAGAGTCATGAGGAAGGGTATGCCTCTCTATAAGTAAATCTAATGTAAAATCACCCAGAGTTATAAAATACATAATCTTAGGGGATTATAAACTATTTCCCTATATACTTCTTATAAAAATCAGTTCCCTTGGAGTATTTCAACATGACCAGTTTAAAAAAACGTTTTCATTGCACCAATCTTAGGAAACTGCTCTGTATGGAGAAGAAACCCAGATACAGTATTTTAGCTGGTTTGGATAAATTCATGTCCCTGGTTTTATAATTGAGGAAACTGGGAGCTCGGAGAGGTTTAGTGCTTTGCCCACTGCATTGTCACACAGCAGTAGTACAGATAACTGGTTCTTAGTTCAGTTTGCTTCCTTTGTATCACTTTATGACCATGAAGTGAACAGAGCGTCTACCTGATATGTATTTAGAGATGTTTTGTATCTTCTCAGATATGACATTGATTCCGGGATCTCTGTCTCAAAGGGTTAGAAATTGTTGAGCTTTTTTTTTCAAGTCAGAGGACACAACTTTTTTATAGTTCTATGTTGTTTCCTCTTATATGGAGCTGTTTCTTTGCACTCTCTTGTGTCTTCTCAAATATGATGACCTAGAAATTGTTCTCACATATATGTACATGGGGAGTACAGAATTCTTACAGTTAATGACTAACAAGAATTGTAACTCAGGATGAGATGCGGTAGAGTGGTGAGAACCTCTCATGGTGGAGTCAGGGACCTTGTTCTTCTCCTACTGCTTCTGTTCATCATTTGAGTGACACTGAGCAAGCCTTAGTTTCATCGTGTATGAAAGGAGGCTAATAATACTATTATTGCCTGGGTTTGTTGTGAGAATGAATGAGGAATCTTATCAACAGTGTATGCATATGAGAGAGCAGTAAAATCTTGCACTGAGTCTGGGATTATTTTAGTCATGGTGCCTACAGAACATGCAGCAGTTGATGAGAGAGGAGGCAGATGTTTGCCCCCTTCGGTAGGTGGGAAAGGCATGGCAAGCTCAGTGTGTCCCATACCAAATGCCAAGTCTTTCCCTCTGAAGCTGAATCTCTTCGGGTGTTGCTATCTCGTCCTGTGCCGTTGTTGGGACCTGCCGACCCAGGAAACATCCTTACCGCCTCCCTTTCTCTGACCCCCATCTTCAGTCCGTCCCCAGGAGCCCAAGTGTCCATTCTCCCATAGCATCCTACTGAGTCCCCTACGCACTCAGTGATTTGCTACAATAGAATCAAATCTTTCCTTTCCGTGGATTCCCACTACAATCAGGATAAAATACAGTCTTCGCAGTGTGAAAGAAATTCAGTCGTTTTGTACTTGGGATAAAAATCTAGTTCTTTAACGTTGCCTGCAAACCTCTGCTTGATTGGGACTGTCTGGCTCATCTCCCTAAACTCACCTTGCACCTTTGTCCACTAGACACCCGTGCTCTACAGGTGGACTTTTCCTTTCTTCTTCTAAGGTATTACGTTTCTTCTTGCCTTGGGGCTTTTGTATATGCTTTCTCCTTTATCTCTGTAGCTTCTCAGCTTTCAGATCTTAGATTTTTCTTAGTAACGCCCATCTGACCTCCAGACTGGGTCACGCCTGCTGAGAGTCTGTTCTCAGAACACCTGTATATAAATTGTTCAGCTTATAGGTATGTTTATGTACAAGATTATTGTGTCCTCAACCCACTAATGACTTGCCTTCTCACTTGGAGTGAAAACCAGAGTACTTTCAATGGCACTGAGTCAAGGGCCTACATAATCTGCCTTCTATTCATCCCCAACCCCCCTCTCTTAAGCTTTCTCCCTTTCCTCACCCCATTTCAGGCATACAGGCCTTCTTGCTCATCTTTTTACATGTAGATGTACAAAACAGACTCCTGTCCCAGGACCTTTGTACTTGCTCTTCCTTCTGATGGTATGTTCTTTCCCCAGCTGTAAGGTGGCTTGCTTTCTCACCGCTTTTAGGTCTTTGCTTAAATGTCATCTTGGTGAGGCCTCCCCAAACCACCCTATTTAAAAATATACATACCCCCCTTGTAACGCTCCCCTGTTTTATTTTTCTCCATGACACTTACCAGCATCTGACATACCCTAAAAGTTACTTGTTTATTTATTACCATTCTCTGCTCACTCTGATGTCCACTCTATGAAGATTCAGATTTTTATCCTTTTTGTTCATCATTATATCCTAGTGCCTAGCAGTTGTTGGCATCTAGTAGGCATTTTCCAAATATAAGTTGAATGAATAAATGAATGAGTGACTTGGACTATTTTCTCTTCCTATTTTTAGACCGTGAGGACACAGGAAGTATCTTTTATTTTCCGCTCACTCCCAGCCCTTGGCATATTGTAAATATACAATAAATGTTTGTTAAATAGGTAAATGAATGGTGATGGTCTTTGAAGGAAAAGAAGGATATGAATTCGGTTTAAACTCCCCCCCCCAAAAAAAACAAAACCAGTGATTGAACAGGCATGGCTATCCTGCATGAGTGGTGGACAGAGATGTGGAAACTGCTTCAGTGGGTATTTCATGCATGGATCCCTCGCCTTCCCCTGCATGAATTTGGGACAGAGCTGTGTGAGTGAGAAAATCACTTTTTGGTAATTATTCTTCAGTGACAAAATCCATTTGCTTCTTTGTTGTTTATTAAACTGGAGACCAAACATCGTATAAATCTGGATGTTTGTTTGGAGCAAGTAGCATAATGATGGGGGCAATTAGTGACATATAGGGTTTGTATTTCTTGCAGAAAATGCCGTCCTGTATCAGAACTACAAAGAAAAGGCTCTTGATATTGACTCTGATGAAGAGTCGGAGCCCAAAGAACAGAAGTCAGATGAAAAAATTGTGATTCACCACAAGCCACTGAGGTCCACATGGAGCCAGCTCTCTGCGGTAAGTGTTTACCTTTTTCTTTCCGATCTGTGGGCATGAAAAAACCAAGTTGTGGAAGTTAGGTTTAGATATGGTTTTAATTTTTTCTGCCAATGATCCTGTAACCTGAAAGAGAAAGACTCTTCTTTTTAGATTGTGGAATGTTTCTTGAAACTCTTTAGACACCAGTGAGAATGTTGATTTTGATACTTCTGATCAGGAAAATTAGGTTTCGATAAAATAAGGTACCTTGACACTATACAGTATACTCTGGAAGCTTTTCCTGCTCGGTATCTTTTCTTATTTTTTAGATCGTGTATATGCAGAGGTAACCTAATCTATCCAGAACTTTATCATGATTATGGCTATATATACAAATGTGTGTGTGTGTCTGTGCATAATAGGGAGTTTATGACAGTTCTTCCTTGGAAATTTCATTTGATATAGACACATTTGTATGTTCTTGCAGTTGATTAATGAGTGACATTCTGTTCCATTTCCTTCTGTGCATCTTTTGTGTGAGCGTGTCTGACACTTACGTTGTATTGATGAGTAATTTCTCCTCTCTGCATCAAACATCTTTTGTTTATAGCTGTAATTTCTCTTCCTCCTGGCTTAACAAATGTCACAGTGTGCTGCTTAGTTTACTTGATATGAGTTTGGGGACAGCATCTGTGGGCATCCGATGCATTACCAAGCAGAAAGGAATTCCCATGGATGGCTTGGGTGGTGGGAGCATTGCATCAAAAACAAGCCAGTGCACCTCTGTGAGTCCCTTAGGCAACATGGGAGCAGAAGCGATTCCTTCTTAAGCTGAAATGGGCATTGTTCAGAGTCTAGAATCTCATGTATTCAGGGGACACGCCGGCATAAGAAAAGGAGTTGTGTATGTTGGAGCTCATAAACAGGCCATGGGAATGGATGTATGGTGATGATGGGAATGACTTCTGGTCAGGTTCTTCCTCCCTTCTTCTACCCTGTGTTGGAATTCAGAATTCTAGAAACCAAGCCCTTTCTCCCTGTATCCCTCCCAGCCCTTAATTGTATTCTAAGGAGGATTTATTCATTTCCAGTGCCTCCAAGGTGTGGCATCCTTAGTATATGCCACAGGCTGAAATGCCTATAGGGGCAGGGCAAGCAGCGTTAAGGGGATGCTGGTGAGTGTGGAGGTGGAGGCCTGGTGGGGATTATGGTGAACAGGCCTGATATAACCTCAGCAGCCGCCACTTAGCTCACACCAGCCCAGTGTTGCCAGATCTTCTGACATTTAGAAAAGAGAATGGAGCAGTCCAGATTTTTATGAATATTATCCCAATTCAAGTGTTAGAAAATGATGTGTGAGGCCAACAAAGTATTTATGGGCCAGTCTTGTCTCCTGTGCTGACAGTTTGGAACTTCTGGGATATTTCTATGATTTGTACATGTGGTCAGGTGGTAATACCTACCCAAAGAAGTGACATATTGGTAGCCTTCTACCCTAATCTAATGATCTCATGATAGTATATCCCTAAGCACATATGTGGAAAAACTGGTGACAAGGCCCATGGAGGCCATGTTGGCTCTAAATGGCTGTCATTCCGTTGTTGGTGTGGACCATTTGGTAGAGGATCCTTGAAAAGAACTGTGGATTTTTTGAGTTCTTCCTCCGTGGCAACAGCTGCATTTGTTAGCCCCGGCCTGAATCGTGCTGCTATTCTCTGCACGCTAAACAGCAACGTGTACTACCGTGTCCCTTACACTCTGATCTTACCTAGCTTGAGAGCTGAAAAGCAAGCTGCCATACTTAGGCCTCCTAAAGTTTGGCGTTCAGCTAGATTAACAAATGCACATCAAGATAATACTACACATCCTTCAGTACAACTGCAAATATGGGCATGCATTTCATTTGGCAAAGGATACATGTACCCATGTGCCTTTTGTTAACAAGATTGCTATCAAAAGACTGGTGATAAAATGTAAAACTATAAAGTGGGTTCTAACTTCAGTGTGTGTTATCTTGGGTTTTAGTGCTCCCAGGAGGCTTGTGTGTATGTATTGTGTTGCTTGGCAATTACATTTAATCAAAGCAGCATTGGACTTTGCTACCTCCCAATTTTAGACACCAGCCTGCATTTTCTTTTTTGCATTTTGTGTCTCCTTTTCACATTTAAGACAGTTTACTTTAGTTTTTTTTTATACTTTTTTTTTAATTTTTAAAGATTTTATTTATTTATTTGACAGAGAGATAGAGAGAGAGCACAAGTAGGCAGAGAGAGAGGGAGAAGCAGACTCTCCACTGAGCAGGGAGCCTGACGCGGGGCTCCATCCCAGGACCCTGGGATCATGACCTGAGCCGAAGGTAGCCGCTTAACTGACTGAGCTACCCAGGCGCCCCCCCCCTTTTTTTTTATAAAGTACTGCAAATATGCCAAAAAACTCAAAAATAAGTATGTGTAAGAGATTTCTGGGTACCTGCCACCCACGTTGAACAAATGTTAACATTTTAACATCTTTACTGCCGATCTCTCTTTTTAGGCAGATCCAGTGAACAACCCTCCTCTCTAGTACTTCTCTCCTTTCTGCTTTCCCAAAATAATCACTGTCCTGAAGTTCTCTTCTGGACTTCCCACGTGGGTTTTCTATCCACTAAAACGATGTAAGCAGCTCTGGCTTTTAAGAAAGTAGATATTTCAACGCAAAAAGTGGTCATTGCTTTTTTAGAAGCCTAGCAGTTGTTAGGTCCAAGTTTCAGTTAGGACGCTAAAGAGAGGAAACTTTGTGAATTTTGAACAATGTCAGGATGTCTCCATAGGGATCAGCACCTCCATTTCTCTGTCTGACCTCATGCCCCAATCCTTCCTTGTCGAGGGGCTGCAGTGGTTAGTGCGGGTCTCAGAAACATGTGCTCTTTCCATGCTTGCCTTTAGTGTGCCAAATTAATAGGGTAGCCCCCATCTAATCGTGCATATATCACTTTAACAGAAAACTCTTCTTTGGGTATGGCCTTCATCCCAGAAAGAGAGTAGGACAGGAGGTTTTCTGAGTGTGAGGGTTTGTGTGAGCACACATGCGCATTAGCTGTTGTTTTATTTTCTTAAAATCTCCTTGTTGCAAACACCTGCCTGCCTCCTGTGATGATGAAACTTTTCTTATCAGTTGACTGTAGGAAACATTCAGTATGCAAAAGGCTCTTGAGTAGTGCGGCTGTTTGCAGTAATGTATGGGGGTTGCATGGGTCTTTAAGGCTTCAGTCTGACATAGAATGTGTTAGCGTGCTTGTTTATATGTCTCCTTTGGTTCCATTGGACAATCACATGGGTGACAATCGTCCCCACTTACATTGTCGGGGACAGGTTTAACTGTAGTGCTGTGGTTATCTAACAATTAAGGGAGAATTAGAACTGTGTGAGAGACATTTAATTGGGCCTCAATAGCAGGGAGAATCTAGCTGCCACAGACTTCTCTAGTCAGATTGAAGTAAGGGAATGGGGGATGTACTTAGCACTGGTGACTCTGCCAGCGGGTTCTCCATGCAGCGGTGGCTGTTCTCCCATAGTCAGAAACACAACCTGGGCTCCTTAGTATATCATAAGATAGTGACAGGTTTACTCTTCATTCCCTTGAACTTCAAAGGAGGTAGATCTCTTTGAGTCAGTACAAAGTAGGTAGGTAGGTAGGTGTAGGATGGCTTCATTCCAAGGAATATAACTTTGTGCTGCTTTTCAGTCCTGGGAGAACCCTAATATACGAGAAATAATTTAAAATTATTATGGTTCCCGGATTTGAGGCTTTGAGCTTGGAAAGTCATTTTTGACTTCTAGAGATCTGTGCCCAGAGACGAAGAACCTGCCACACACAGGTCAGTTGCCCAGTGACTCACCTAAAATGGCAGCGTGAGGACGAAGCCAACAGTTCTTGGACCTCTGGGACGAGCTTGTGGATTTGAAGAAAAATATCGATACTATTAGTTGGGGATAGAACATCCAAGTCCTTGTTACAGTGACTGCCAGGTGTGTGGCCAGTTGAGTGCGGGATGCAAAGGGAGCTTCAGGATTCCCTAAAGTTGATCCTTTAGTGGGATTCTGGAAGCATTTGCAGTATTACAGAAAATAAAAGATAAATCTTGACTGGAGTCGTTTTGTTTTTCCTCATAACCACGCCTGCCTGTCCTGTGTTGACGCACTGAGCATGTACTGAAAAATGATGGTTGTGAAACCAGTGTTTGTTTTGTCAAGATCAGTGACAGCACCGAAGCCATACTCACCAGCCATGGCCTGACCCCATTTATTTGCCATGGGGTGTGTTTGTGTAATTTCCACCACCTTCACATGCCAGGTACCTTTGAAAAGGGTGTTTAGGCTCCAGAGGCAAAAACAAGCATGCCCGCAAACTTCCCACTGGAATTGAGCACCTAATATAGTCATCCTCTGCTCTGCTGTGCTCTTCCTTTGCACTCGCTGACAGGGGGCTTTATCAGTCATCTTAAATCATTTTGAGTATCTCTTCGGTTTGTTCAAAAAGTTTAAACTCTCTAGTTAGGAATGGGTTTTTCTATTTCCATCAGAGCATTCCTTCAGCTGTGCAGAGTGGGGCTAAGGGTTTAACGGGAGATCCGATGTTAGGACCTCAGTCTCTGAGTCCTGGCTCCGCTCTTCAAGCTCACACCGTTTGCCTCTGGACGACTTTCTGGAACTGCCAAATGAGAAGGGGCGATTTGAAAAATGGTGATTTTATAGAAATGTAATTTCATCCAGTTGACTATATAACAAACACTTTGGAGACTTAGCAGTTGGATCTGACGGGACTTATTCTTTTAGAATTTACACCGTGGTTATTGTGAAAGATCTTCTGTTTTCTACTAAAAACTAGAGCTCAACAGATGTAATAAACCTGAATATTATCCTGTTTGCAGAAAAATGTCTAATGCATTTAGAGGTCATAGAAAAATGCATTATCTTTCCTTAAATTTTCACACGTGTCTGAATTAATTTTCAGTTGTTCAGTGACTTGCTCCTTAAAATAATCTCTTCAGTCATATAATT